ATTACTATAATATTTGCTAAGGAGAGTGCAATGCTAATGAATTTGGGAAATAGTTACCTGTCTGAAGATGACACAAAATGGCTTATGCCTGATGGAAGTCCTGGGAGAGACAGGGTAAAGTGAGAATAAAATAAGACAGAAGGCTAAACCTTGAGAAATACTCCATTTTTAGGAAAAGGAGAAGGAATGGAGCCAGAAGGGTGAGGGAAGCATGTGCCCATGAGGAGGAGTAAAAAATCTAACCTTGCAGTTATACAGGTGGGTAGATGAATGATAATTTAAGTTAAAAAGAAAGAACTATGAATATCAGAAATTTAGAAGAGAACAGGAGATTATCTTTACATACCTTTGTATCACAAAGATTATTATTTTCTCATTAACATAGAAATATATTTTCTCAAGCCAGGGAATATTTCTAACTAATTTTTTAATCCTAAGTAAGTGTGGTGACTGGAATCTGATAGATGCTAAGCTAATGATTAATGATTAATGGTAAAAAGGATCACTGAATGTAATCCTGCATGCTATTAGATAGAATGAATGGAAGAAAGGACTCTAGTAATTGCATTAAATGAGAAGGAATCTCTTGATTATATTTTCCCACATTCCTTGCACTATAAAAGTCTAGACTGAAGATAAAATTAAAAATTGAAAAAGACAGGATGATGCTCTAAGCACTTACATGGTCAAAGAGTCGTGAGTGGCTCAGTAAGGACAAAAAATATATTCCCCCTCCTTTTGTCTTCAATTGCTTCTATCGAATTGGGTCTGATTTCCTTAAGGGCTATACAATTAGGCTTGAGTTCTTTACTACAGAGCCCAAAATGGTCCAGGTTTTCATTCTACACACACACGCGCACACACACACACACACACACAGAGGACACTGTGCTTGTGATGTTGCCCTGTCACCTAGGGTGATTTCCTTAGAGTTCACAGAAGTAAAAATATCTTTGACCTTTACAGGTCTCTCTTGGGTCCCATTCATGTTATATCCCAAGACACAGGGAGCAGGAGCCCTCAGAGTAAAGGGAGCAATTAAGTGCTGGGTGTTGGGAGAGTTTGGGAGTGGGAAAATAGTACACAGTAATTGAGATAATCTTTACATGAAATAGCAATTAAAGAGGTTGTGGGTTGTCCCTGGCCACCCTGTTTTTCTGTTCTGGGTACACATCCCAAGGACCCTTTTGTTCTCTCTGATTTGCTATCAGTCATGTTTTCCAGTTTTTCCCTATCTGTCATGTCCTCCCGATTCCCTAACCTCTGCATGGCTGTGGAAAAGATTGTAACAATAAAAAGAGCATCCACCTTCGTGTCAGAAAGTTCTGATATGAATACACGCTATCACACATTAGCTATATGTCTTTAAAACTAAAGGTATCTGTCTTATCTGAGTTAATACTGTAATTTGTAAAATTGATTTATATTAGGATTTTATAGGGAAGATGAAGATTAAATGAGATAATGCTTATACCTTTCTTGACACATAATACTTGCACCTGTAATTTATTATTTCTTGAAGGTATTATACATTCTAATACTCAATTTCATTGCTAGAATCTATCTTTTTTTGTTACTCTCTCCTAGCCTTTGGAGTTTTAAAATGAGTTAGTGGGTTTTTGTTTTGTATTTTTGGTTTGTTATCTGGTTGTTGTTTATTTTAACTGCTAGTGATTAAGGGGGGAAAAACATAAGAATCCTCAGAATTTTTTCCTAATTTCCTATTCCATATGGAATCTAAATGACTTATGATATTTCATGTTCTCAGCATTCAACTTGATCAATTAAAAAATGGGATAGTGGAATTAACATTTGTAGAGGGCCCTCTTGTGACAGGTCTTACATTCTAGTCTTTAATCCATTTTTAGTTAATTTTTGTGTATGGTGTGAAATAATGGTCTAGTTTTATTCCTTTGAATATGACTCTTCAGTTTCCCAACACCATTTGCTGAAGAGATTTTTCTTTCTCCACTGTATAATCTTGTTATCAGGGAAATGGAGATCAAACCTACAATAAGATACTAACTTACACCTGTGAGAATGACCTATATCAAAAAACCAGAAACAGCCAGTGTTGGTCAGGATGTGGAGACTAAAGAAGGCTCATAATGGTACATTCCCACTAACAGTGGGTCCAGCCCAGTGGAAAACCGTATGGACATTTCTCAAATATTAAAAATAGATCTATCATATGATCGAGCAATTCCATTCCTAGGTATCTACCCAAAGAATGAAAAACACCAAGTAGAAGGGATCTATGCTCTCTTGTGTTTACTGCAGCACTATTTATAATAGCTAAATTATGGAAACTACCCAAGTACCCAATGACAGATAAGTGGATTAAGATAAAATACTGCTCAGCTATAAAAGATGAAATATTGCTATTTGTGACAACATGGATGGAACTGGAGGGAATTATGCTAAGTGAAATAAATCAGAAGGAGAAAGATAAATATTGGATGATTTCATTTCTTTGGAATATGGAGATACAAAGAAACTGACAAAACTAAGCCAAAGAAACCCTAGAAATCTGACTGTAGAATTGAGGTTACCAAGAAGGAAGGTGGGACGCAAAGGCAGAAGGGATTCAGTGGACAATAGTAGGAGATTATGGGTGCTTTGGTGGTAGGTGTGTTGTGATAACATACATCTGAAGAGGTATAAACCTATTCTCCTAAATTGTATGCAGTATTGTAAACTAATGTTACTTCAGTAACTACTACAATAAAAGAAAGAATGCAAGATTGCTCTCATGAATCAGATATTGGAGAAAAAATTGCTGAGCTGTGACTATTTCCTTCATTGTCAATGAACCCTTGGAAGCGTCTACCTTCTGGTTATTGTGAATAATGCTGTTAAGAACATGTTATAAATAGGAATATCTCTTCAGAACCATTTTGGATACAAACCCAGAAGGGAATTGCTGGACCCTATGGTAATTCTATTCATAAATCTTTGAGGAAGAACTCACTGTTTTCCATATGGCTGCACCATTTTACATTCTCAGCATAGGCACATGGGGTTCAAATTTTCTACACCCAAGTCAACATTTCTTTTTCTTTTACTTTTTATTCATGGGCAGTCATATAATTGCTTGGAGGTGGTATCTCATTGTGCATTCAATTTGCATTTTCATAATTATTAGGGAGATCAAGCATCTTTTTATTTTGTGTTTTTTGGGGGAAGGGTCTATTTTATTTAAGTCTTTTGCCCTTTTTTGCAAATCTTGTTTTTTTTAAGATTTATTTATTTATGCATGCAAGAACTGGGGTACAGACTAGTGGTGTGGGGGTTGAGAAGATTCACCAGAGACATAGTGGGAAGCAGAACAGGCAGTCTACTGACATACACTGCTGAAAGGAGCAGTGAGCGAGACAGGAGGGGTCTGCTGTGCCATGTGGATTAGCTTTCTGGCTGGGGATTGAACTCATGGTATAGTGGCTGCTGATAGCTTCATAGTGCTGAGACTTAACCCCTTATGCCACCAGGGAGGACCTCTTGTTATTTTTTTGTTGGTGGTTTTGGAGTAAGTTTATAAAGTTTTATGTGCATATATCCTGTATTTTAAATAAAATAGTACTGAATTTTTTGATATAGGAAAGACGTGTTTTAAAGATAATTCTTCAATGCAAAAGTCATTACACACTGATTTAGAAAAGGCAAAAAAAAGTGGGGAGACTCAGATCATCAGGTAGTGGCTTTCATATGTCTTCATTTAACTTAAATGTAGTTATTTATTTAAATTAGTGCATGTTGTTTTCTGTGTACTAATTATTTTATCTGTTTTCCCCTTTGCATATGAGTAAACATGCACCTACATCATAATTTAACAGCAAAGTAGTATCCAGTAATTTATTCAATGAACATTCCCAAGAATGTGGTGATATGAAGATTAAATAAGTTGATATTTGTGAACTATATATCACAATGTCTAGAAAACAGATTTTTTTTTCTGTTAATGTTGATACTATTCCAGGACATGGAAAATTGAAATGTTTATAGGTGGAAAAGGGGAACAGTTACATTATAAATGGATCAAGAAAAATGAAGTGGTGGGTTGGCACAGAGATGAACTGTTGTAGAGTGCTTCTTGGAATCAGAGCCTCATTATTCTTTTTTTTTTTTAAAGATTTGTTTGTTTGTTTGTTTGTTTATACATACAAGCACTGGGTACAGTCAGAAGCGCGGGAGGGTGAGAGAATTCACCAGAGCCAGAGTGGGGAGCAGAGCAGGCAGAAGGGCCTAACTACACTGCTAAGGGGAGCAGCGGGTGGCAGGAGAGGTCTGCACGCCATGTGGGACCCGCCTCCGGTGGCTGGGGAGCAGTCGGGGATCGAACTGGTGCCGCATAGACTGTGGGCAGCTTCGCAACCCTGCGCTCAACTGCTGCGCCACCAGGGAGGCAGAGCCTCATTATTCTCAATCAGGTTAAACTGGCTGTTCTTATTGTACAAGAAGTCCATCTCCCATGGCTGGCTATGCACTTTGAATTTCTTTAAAAAAAATATTTATATATGCACACAAGAACTGAGGTATAGGCCAGAGGTATTGGAGGGGGGTGAGAGGACTCACCAGAGACAGAGTGGGGAACAGAACAGGCAGATCTACTGAAATACACTGCTGAGGGGAGCAGTGGGAGAATGAAGCAGGAGAGGTCTGCTGTGCCATGTAGGTCACCTCCCTGGCTCAGCATCAAACTCATGCTGCAATGGCTGGAGATAGCTTGATAGCACTGTGTCCTTAACCCCTGTGCCACCGGGATGGCCCCTGTACTTTGAATTTCTTACCCATTATTAAGGCAATAAGGATAATCTTAATCATAGAGGTGTATGTGTAGGCACAGGGTTTATACAGACAAACAGAAAATCTTAGAGAACAAAATATAATATAGTGGAGGAAGCATTTTCTGTTACCTGCTTATTACTTAAGAAGTTGAGATAGGATGTAGGATGATATTCTTAACTGACAGCAAATCCAAAGCCCATTACAAAACCTGTAATCTATTCCAGGGAAGTAAGTACTATTTTGTGGAACACTCTTTTCAGGGAGTTTTTTACTTCCCTGTTCCTTAAGGAATAGATTAATGAGTTCAGCATAGGCGACACATAATTATTTAACATTTGTACCACAGCATCCAGCAAGGGGTTGGGTGTAGACTGCAGATAGATGATGATTACCGGTCCAAGGGCACAGAAGATTGCAGCCAAGTGGGCACTGCAGGTGGAGAAAGCTTTTTTCCTGCCTTCCACTGAACGAATTCTCAAAATGGCAATCCCAATATATGTGTAAGAGACACAAACAGTGAACCAAAGCATTAAGGCTATAAAGCCAATATTAGTGGAACCTACAGTTTGTGCCAGGGAGCTGTCATCACAAGCCAGGGGTAAGACAGCAGGAATGTCACAAAAGAAGTAGTCCACCTGGTTGGGGCCACAGTAGTTTAATCGAAATGTAAAGGAGGTCAGGATGCTGGCGTGGAGACAACCCACACACCAGACTCCCAGGACAAAACCAACACAAACCCCAGGTCTCATGATGAGATTATACCTCAGTGGGTGACAGATGGCAACAAAGCGGTCATAAGCCATCACAGAGTAGAGGCACCCTTCCGTGGAGCCCAGGAAATGGTAGAAGAAGAGCTGGGCAGCACATCCGTGATAAGAAATGGCGTGGCTCTGGCCAGAGAGATAGAACAGCATCTTGGGGCAGGTGACAGATGGGAACAGCATGTCAAAAATAGAGAGGAGTCCCAAGAAGAAATACATGGGGGTATAAAGAGCAGAGGAAGAAACAATCGCTATAAGTATAAGTAAATTGCCAAGCAGAATGAAAAGGTACATGGATAAGAAGATGACAAAGAGCCCAGACTCCACTCCCCTTGTGTCAGGTATTCCCAGCAGAATGAATTCAGTCAGCTCTGTGTGGTTCATCGTGCTCCTGGAGGGGAGGTCTGCGTAGAAACAAAAGACACTAAATCATAGATGTAGAGGCTGATTTGTGAAAGACACAGACCAATTCATTCATTGTCACCAATCTTAAAGATGAGGGTCCTCCCTGGTGGCTCAATTGGTTGAGAAGCAGCACTATGAAGCTATCCGCAGCCAATGCAGAACGAGTTTGATCCCTGGCCAGGGAGCTATCCACATGGCACAGCAGACCTCTCCTGTCTCGCCTGCTGCTCCCCTCAGCAGTGTATTTCAGTACATTTGCCTGTTCTGCTCCGTACTCTCTCTGGTGAATCCTCTCACCACCCACACCTCTGGCCTGTACCCCAGTTCTTGTATGCATAAATAAATAAATCTTTAAAAAAATAAAGATGATGCAATAAGAAACAGGAATTCTACCAAAGACAGTTAGGAGCTGTTACAGTAAATCTTTGCCTTTATATCTCAAGATACCATATTCCTTTATGAATATGAATACAAAACCATCCAAACGTTCATACGTTGAATTACTGAATAGGCTTTGAGGACTGAACCAAAGAACATACTTTAATATTACAACCAACAGTATAACACTGTTGTAATAAGTGCCCTAAAATAGACCAGTCTGGAAGCTTCCTCTTGATTCCTTTGCAGAGAATGTTTCCAGCACTCAAAGATGTAGTCAAGTATAATATAAATCCATCAAAGGTCAATTTGAACACTTTGGATAAGAACAATGGATTTTGATAAGTGAAATTAACTTTAGGATTAGTATCAGTCTGTTTGAATTTATTTCTCAGTTTGAACATTTTCTTAATGGCACATCTTTTTTGAGTGAAAAGAAACTATTGCACATTTGGATATTATCTTAGCATTTTAAATTGTTTAGGATTTCACAATTTTGTTGTGTTTTCTACTTTAATTTTCTTGCATTCTGATGTAAAACCAAATTTTTTTGGCATTCTGGTAAGAAATAATTTTATTTTCATTTTAAATAATTTTATGTGTTCCGGAAGGAAAACAATGTGAGAGCTACCTTGAACACCATTTCAGTGTACAGTACAACATTGTCGATTGTCACGGTGTGCTACAGCAGGTGTATAGAGACTTTGTGCCCTTTGACTAGTAACCTCTTGCTCTCTCCACACCACTGTCCTCGCTCTGCTTCCGTGATTTGCTTGTTTTATTTTAAAACAAAAAATCCATTAAATGGAGATGGCTGAGTACATGAAGTCACTCATGTTTCTTGTGCTTTGATTAACTGTGTATTGAATGGAATTGAATTCAGGTTCTGCTACGCTGTGAGGTGCCTGAGAGCAAATGCTATCATTTGTCATTGAATCTGCAGTATGCAGCGGTGCCTGTGAGTAGCTGGCATTAGACAGTTGAATAGAAAGTTAGAAATCACAGCCACCACCAAAGCACCCATAAGCCTCCACCATAGTCCACTGTATATCCTCTCCCTGTGCCCCCAACCCCCTTTGAGCTTTGGTAACCTCAGTTATATTCAATTTTAGGAGAAGGAAAGGGGGTCATTTAAAAAGAAATATATATTTTCTTCTGAGAATTTGGATAGACCTGGAGAATGTCTTTTACATTGTATCAAAAAGTTTAGTATGTCCTCCATCTTTGCTATTGTTCCATTTCCACAGAAACATATTTTCTCTGTGTCAGATAATATAGCCAACCTATTTTTCAACCCTCGGTAACTGTTTGGTTCTTGGAATGCTGAATTAATGAGTAATGAATAACAACCTGGCATGCTCACTGATTGAGTTAATAAAGGATAAACTCTAGTCATTGTATAGAAAGACAAGGAAGCCTTCATTGAGATTTCTTCCACAACCCTTGCTAGGCAGATTCTAGGGTGAGGATAACGAGTTAACATGGAAAGATGGAGAAATGCTCAGAACACTTACGTGCTCAAGGTGTGGTGACTGGTGCAAGTAAGGAAAACAATTATTTTTCCACTTCCTTTGCTCTAGTATCTTCCATAGAGCTGTGGAGATCTCCATCCCAATCATATTTCTTTCTTAGGTGCCATGGAATTGACTTGGTTTCTGAAAATCCAGGCCACACATGGCCTGTTGCATTCAGAATCACAGAGAAGGGAGGCTCTATATTTCATATCTGCCTTGTCATCTAGGGTAACGTCCTCCCAATTAACAGAAGTAAAAATGTCCTCTAGCTTTTGGATTTGAAATTATCTAGTAGCCCCTCTGGAGCCCCATCCACGATATATCCTGAGACTCCAAGCAGGGACCCTCTGAACAAAGGGAACAATTAAATGTTGAGTATCAAGAAAATAAGGAGTAAGCACATAGTTTACAGCAATCAGGATAAACTTTACAGGAACTAGGAATCAGGGAGGTCATGGGTTTTCCCCAGCTAACTTGTATTTCTATCTGGGTACACATCCCATGGGACCCATTTGTTCTCTATAGATCTCAGGGATTTAATCCTTGAAGGTGCCCAAATCAAACCATCCCAAGACTCCCAGGATTGATCTCCTCTAGAAGCCCTGCAGATTATTTTGAGTTAAGTGCAATTAAGGCCCCAGAAGCTGAGGAGAAGCGTTTGTCTTTATCTGAGTCCTTTACCCTTCCATGATGGACAAAGAAGAGACCGTTGCTCTCTAATCTTTTACCCTTTCCCTATTTGAAGCAGCAATCACTGCTTTCATTTCATTTTTATGACCTAGAAAAATGTAGTTTGGGGCTTATCATCCAGGTGTTTTTATTTGGAAATACATCCTCCATATTTGACAATCTCATCATTACTTGGAGAGTAAAAATGAAGTCATCCTCTGCTTGACATGTTTAGTCTTCCCCCTCCTTAAACCTTGGTGAATTGTGCCCATTAATTTGGATTTTGGATTTCTATCCCTTTCTCTCCCTTGAATGTTAGTAAATGGATTTTTTTCCTTAGCTAACCTATCATCTGCTGTTTTGATTACTTGTTTAGCCTGAGAAGAACCCAGAGGGGTGGAGAATTTTTCCCTTTTTCCCTTTACCCAGACACCTGCTTATCTGTCATTGTTCCCCAGTGTCTACCAACCTATTCCCATAGCTCTTACATTGTGGAAAAATTGAAACATAATTACTTACATTGCAATTAGAGATTTTTCTTGCTTTCTCGGGCTTAATACTACCCCATGTATGTGTGTATATATGTACATACATGTATATATGTATGCATATACATTTTGTTGTTTATGACTAGTGCTCATTTGGATTGTTTTCACCTCCTGACTATTGTAGATAATGCGCTATGAACATTCTATAAATGTGAATATTTCTCCAAGACCCTTTTGGCTGTATACCAAGAACTGAAATACTTGAATCACATGGTAACACTATTTTTAAATTTTTTGAGGACACACCATACTATTTCCATAGTGTTTGTACCAGTTTACATGCTCACCAACAGTGTACAAGGGTCCAAGTTTCTCCACATCCTAGGCAACATTTACATTCTTTTCCCTCCACAACAGCTACCTTAATTGGTGTGATTGACCTCTTTGTGCATTTATTTGCATTTTCCTAGTGAGTAATGATATCAGTATCTTTTCATATGCTGTTTGGTCATTTGTATGTCTTCTTTGGAGACTATTTAATTTCTTTGACATTATTTCATTGTGGATGAAGTAGCATTTTAAGAAGTAGTGTTGTACATTGTTTAAATATTATATGTTGCGTGCTTTACTAAAGTTTTAGATATAGAAAGATTTAAACTCTTAAATTTGGGTTTTAAAAATACCAAATTGGGGCCAAAATAAAGGGGTTGCAATTGTATGGGGAATATAAAAATAAAATTAAAAAAAAAAAAACAAACTGTCAATACAACACTAATTAAGAAGTGGCAAATTAGAATATATATTTAAATTAGTGCACGTTAATTTGGGTCCCATTTATTCTCTCATGTACCGTGTTCCTCTCTTTATGTGAATAAATGTACAAGTAAACCATTGTTTGAATGCCAGAATAATGTCCATTCATTCAACTAAGCATGGACACTTGCTGTATCATTGGAATATGTTCTGTTGAAGCCAGTGTACCCTGTTATTTTAGCCCTTGAATCAGCACAGGTTGTTGTCCCACCAAGCTGTAAAAAGGAATTCGCAGACTTTTTAGACAAGTAATTAGAGAGAATAAAACTTTGTTGAAGAAAGTAAAGAACAATTTATTTAAAGGAAGAAAGCAATGACTCCCAGATGCGCTGTACCTGGGAGGGACAAAGAAGCCGCTGTGGGCCTGTGTCTGGGTATTTAAACTTTAATTTAATTTTTTTTTTTTCTATTCTAAAATCTCAGCATCCTACTTGGTGACTGGTGCGCTCTCCTAGTGGCCATATTCCTCTGGGCAGCTGGGCCCATTCCCCCGGCTATTATCTTAGCATTTCTCCTTTTCCTCCCCTGTCCAAGATCTTTATTCTCTCAAGATTTACCATCCATGTTTGGTCCTCCTGGACTTGATGCTGTCCTTATCTCTGGAGTATGTTTTGGTTAGCACCTTTTAGAATTGACTGTCTTGATCTCAGAAGCCTCTTTAACTCTCCCAAAGTCGCTGCCTGCATTGTCCCTAACTTGCCCTAGGACGTAACCCTAACTTGAACTCAGACTCACTGTGGATACCATTTGTCACAACATGGAGGAAACAGGGGGCATTAGGCTAAATGAAATTAGCCAGAAGGAGAAAGACAAAAAATGGATTTTTTACTCATATCTGAAATATAAAGAACCAAAGCAAAACCAAATTAGAAAAAAAACAACAACAGAACAACACAACAACTGTGAAATCTGACTATGGAAGTGACACTACCAGAGAGGGAAGATAGGAGCGGGGAGTAAAAAGGGGAGGAGGCCAAATGGACTATTGTGGAAGAATATAGGTGCATTGGTAGTGAACAGGATGTGATAACATACATGTGAAGAGATGTGAACCTGTACCTGTAAATCATATACAGTGGCATAAATCAATATAACCTCAATAATGTACAATTTACCTGAGTAAGAAAGACAAATATGATCTCTACATTTTTGGGATTTCCCATTGTATAGCAAAGAAACTGGTGGCTGTGTGATGCATATCTACCCATAGATGCTCTCCAGATTTTACCAAATATCATAGTGGGTTCTTCTGCCAATTCCCAGAATTAATAGTACAGCAAACATATACTAGAATTGCTCCCATATCTTTTAAGGTATGTAGTCACAAAATGTAAAATTTTGCCCATCAGGTGGGTTCTTGTGTCCAAGCTTTTGAGAAATAATCACCGAAACACGGGACAGAAGATTAGTAAACTCAGGTTTATTGCAAGAGAGACTCCTGACAGTAGGTGGGGGTCTAAGGGAGGAGCTTGTTACTGTTGGGAGTAGTTTACTTTCATAATTTCTCATGGGGTCTTTTTCCTGTTCTGGTGCTTTTCCAGTATCCCCCTACTGTGTGCCTCTACATGCCTCTTGTGGTTACCAGCCTCTGCCTGCAAGCTCAGTGGCTAGCAGCCTTTACCTGTCAGCTTTCTGCTTCCTCAAGCACCCAGCCTTGGTCTATCTGACACCCAGCTCTTGCAGGCCAGCTCTCTAGCCAGCTGACTCTCTACTCCCTCAATAATAAGATTTTTTATGATCTTGATTTTACTAATCATATTAGTAGGGACAATAGAACCTATATTTCACCCTAAATTGTGTAGCTAAGGTTGAATGGGCTTCATTTTTTCCTTTTATCACACTTTTTGTAATGCAGAAATTTATTTTACTTGGGACTTTCACTTTTTTTGGTTCTGTTTTAGTGGTTTAAAATAGGATAAAAATGAGTAATAAAAGTGGAGTATACAAACTAAAAAATACTGAAATATCTTGAAACTAATGTGTCTGTGGATTCTACAAAAAATATTGCCCCTTCTTCCTCTCTGGATTCAGAAAAATGCACAAATAATCATCAACTCTAGTATCGCTGGAAACCAGATTTGACAATATAACTTGGTAAAAACCAGATGAGCATGAACTCCATATTTAGGTTATCATATTCTTTAACACTGGACAGGAAGTCTTCCACAATTCATTCACACTGCAGAGTAATTTGGGATACTGGCAGCATAGCGCAGTAATAATACCAGCCCAATAAGAGTTAAGAGGGTGGTCTAGGCCTGACTTTACCATAACTAGGTGTGTTATCAAGGGTAACACAGTTAGCTGTATCTCTGTGCTACCATCTACAGATGGGTGCAAAGGATTATGGCACAGAATAGATGGAGATCACAGTAAAGAAAAGAATTAAACATGACCTATGTAAGTACATATTTTAACAGTTATTTATTAAACATCTTCAATGTATCATGTGCTCAGAGAGAATGACAATGAGTAAATTGCCATGTACATCTTTGTGGGCAATCATCTAGTAAAGGGATAAGAATAGGGTGTTTGTATTTAAGTGCATCTGAGTTATGGTCTTTTTTTTTTTTTTTTTTAATGTTCAACCTTAGGTCAATTAACTGAAACATTTAATCCTCAAAGCTTTTTTCTTTTAAATGGAAACTCTATGGGTGGGGGTGCTCTTAAGATTAAATAAGATAACATTGTAAAATATTCATTACATTGCCTGGAAAACAAATCATTTTCAATAAATATTTTAGTTAATACGACTCCTGGTAATTTGAAGGAATTGAAGTAGTCACAGGCAGAAAATACTTAACAGGCACTATACTAAGTATAGTAAGTAAAATACAGTGAAGTTTGATTTGGCACAGAGATGAGCTATTGAAGTGTAGTTTCTTGGGTGGCCATAGATCCTCATTATCCTCAACCTGCAAACATGCCTCAAACCTGCCCAAATATGGGAAAAGAAATCTGTCTCCAGATTCTTGCTATGTCCCTTTCGTTCCTTACCCAGATTAAGGTGCTGAGGATAATATTATTTAGAGTTACTTACAGACTTCAGGAACTATAGAGACACATTCAAAGTGGAAAAGCTAATAGGAAAAGAAATATGATTTACAGGAAGGATTTTCTATTACCTACCTTTATGAGCAGAGAATACGAGGATGACGAGAGACAATAAAATCCCAAATTCGATCACAAACCTTTACTTTATTCCAGAGAAGTAAGTACTGTTCTGTGGAACACTCTTTTCAGAGACCTTTTCACTTCCTTGTTTCTTAAAGAATAGATTAATGAGTTCAGCATGGGTGAGACAATATTATTTAATATCTGCACTACAGCATCAGTGAATGGTTTGGGTTTGGGCTCCAGGTAGATGATGATTACAGGTACTAGGGCACAGAGGACTGCAGCCAGGTGGGCACTGCAGGTAGAGAAAGCTTTCTTCCTGCCCTCTGTTGAACGGATTCTCAAAATGGCAATCCCAATGCGTGTGTAAGAGACACAAAGAATGGACCAAAGCATTAAGGCCAGAAAGCCAACATTAGTGGAACCCACGGTCTGGGCCAGGGAGCTGTCATCACAGGCCAGGGGTAAGACAGCAGGAATGTCACAGAAGAAGTAGTCGACCTGATTGGAGCCACAGTAACTCAACTTAAAGGTTAAGGAAGTCAGGATGCTGGCATGAAGACAACCCAACCACCAGATTCCCAGGACCAAACCAACACAGACTCCAGATCTCATGATGAGATTATACCTCAGTGGGTGGCAGATGGCAACAAAGCGGTCATAAGCCATCACACAAAACAAGAAATTTTCAGTACAACCTAAGAAATGGTAGAAGAAGAGCTGGGCGGCACATCCGTGATAAGAAATGGCGTGGCTCTGGCCAGAGAGATAGAACAGCATCTTGGGGCAGGTGACAGATGGGAACAGCATGTCAAAAGTAGAGAGGATTCCCAAGAAGAAATACATGGGGGTGTGAAGGGTAGGGGAAGAAACAACTGCAATGAGGATGAGTAAATTGCCAAGCAGGGTGATGAAGTATATGAATAAGAAAATGACAAAAAGCAAAGTCTCTGCTCCCTGTGTCTCAGGTATTCCCAGCAGAATGAACTCAGTCAGCTCTGTATGATTGCTCATGTTCCTGGAGGGTTGGTCTGGATGAATGTAAAAGACATGAAAGCATGAAGACGGAGTTTGATTTGTGACAGAAAAGACCAATACATTCATCATTACTAATCACTCTTCAAACAGAAAGATGTTGAAGTTAAGAACTAGAAATTTAGCTGAAATATTTACAGGCTATAAGGCAAATCCATGCCTTCCTATATGGTGAAATATTGAACACATGAGAACAAAAATTTTTATACTATACAGATCATCATAGTTTGATGCATGTTCATAACCAATTATGCACCAAAAATGCACTAAATTAGACTACCCTATAAGTCTGATCCTACTGATTCCTTTACAGAGCATATCTGTAATTAATTTAATAATTGGTCTAATATCCAAAATATTGATCAAAGGTCAATATGAGCAATAAACTCCTGTGATGAGAATAATGGATTGTGATAGATTAAAATAGTATATCATTCCTACTGGATTATTTGTTTGAGCATTTTCTTAGTTGGCAACATGCCTTTGACTTAAAAAGAACTAACAGTGGTAAACTTAGATATAATCCTGGGGTTTTAAATTCCTTAGAGGCTAGCAGATCGTTGTGTCATGTGGATGGTAAATTTTAGTGAAGTTATGTCATTTATGAAGGTGTAAAGATAGACTATTTAATCTTTGCTAGAAATCAGAATTTTTGAATCCTTAGTACAGTGGGACATCGCAATTATGCAATTCTTTGAGTGTGTTTACTACTGCCTTAATTTTTTATTCTATTAAGACATGTACCCTTTTAGTAAGATATTTAAGTGTACAATACAATATTTAAAAATTTTGGTACAATATTGTATAGCAGATCTCGAATTTATTTAGATTTGCATTACTGAAAACTTACATGCTTTTATTTAGGCATCTCTCCATTTCTGCTCGTCTCTGCCCATGGCAAACACCAATATGCATTCTGCTTCTGAGTTTGACAATTTATTTTAAAGGAAAATGTCACGTAAGTGAATATGTGAAGGACTTGAAACTGCCACTAGGGGGTGCTGTAGTCACCTGTCACACTATTTGTATTTAAGGTGCTTGTCAATTCCAAAACGTTTTCCATTTTTTAGGCTTTTTTTTTTTTTGATATTCAAAAGATAAGAAAATTGGTTAATTGTCGTGACTTGGCTTCTATATACAATTCTATATACAATTCCTTCAATATACAATATGCAATTGTATGGGAAATATAAAAATAAAATTTATTATTTAAAAAAAAATTCTTACAAATATATAGTCCAAAATAAAAAAAATATATATATATACAATTCAGTCTTTCTGAATCGCTTAATAGTTACTGACTCACAATAGCACATTCTGAAACAACTGGAAGTGTTCAAAAAGGGTAATATTATCCACATATACAAAAGAAATTGGATGGAACTGAATTCAGATTGTATCAGACTATATTGAGAGCAAACGCACCAATGGTGGTTGAATCTGCAGTATTGTTACAGTGACTAAATAGCTGGCAATAAATATTTGTTAGATAAAAGAATGCATGAAAAGTTGTTATATGGTATAAGTACTCCATAAAGATTCTGTTTTAAATTAAACAGTATAATGCAGTGTAATGCATCAGATAGTCACTGCTATAGGGGAATGGTAATAAGGGAAGATAACAGTTATGAAGTAGGCAGATTTGATTTTTAAACCTAAACTCTTGTTTACCTATTTTTTGACTTTGCTGTGTTTCATTTTATCTGTCTTTAAAACAGGGTTGTATTACAATCCAAAACTGTTAGTAAATAGGATAATACAGTATGAGACTCTCAAGTGGTGTCTGTCACATTTCAGGTCCCTAGGAATTGTTATTTACCTCTTTATTCTGGGCAAAAGTAAAAATACTCATGTAATGCTCTGACTTAATATTGGCATCAACATAGCTAATGCTAAATAACTCACAGTTTGGGGCAAGTGTTTATTTAGTAAATGCAGCTGTGGACATAATGGTCTCCTCTTAATTTTGCTGAGATACAAATAAAACCCGTAATGGAGAAGTTTGGGAACCATGGCTTAAATGTCTTTCTCATGTTTTGTATCCTATAAAAAAGCACTCAACCTTCCAAATCACTGAAAGTACTGAAAAATGTGAATCATGATAATGCGATACAGTGATCTGTACCGTATCAGTCTATAAGGTATTTGTAAATAGGAGTCACATTTCTGTTGGTTATAGAGCAGTATATTTTCTATAAGAAAGCAGTGGAAAACTACGAGTAATATCTCATGAAAAGAATACTATGTTAGACTGAAGTTTTATATACTATATATTAAAAATATTTTTCCTTATAAATGACAGACTTCATGAAAGATTCTGATATACACAACATGCTACATATAGTTCATTATTACTATATTTTCTACAGAGAGTCTCATGTTAAAGAATTTGGGAAGTAGTTACCTGCATGAAGATGACAGTCATTGCCTTAAGCCAGAAGGTCACAAGAAAGATAAGAAAAAGTCAGGACAACATAGGGTTGGAAGTCAAACCTTGAGCCATACTCCATTTAAGGAAAAGGAGCCTTTTAAGATGAAATATGTACATTCTTCAGAGAATTTTGAAAAGACTATCTTTTACATATTTTTATAACATAAAGATTATTATTTTCTCCATGCCAGGAAATATATCTTAACTAAATTTTTAATCCTAAGTAATGTGTGGTACTTGAAATGTGATAGATACTGAATAAATGATTAAGGAAGAAAAGGAGAATCAATAAATGCATTCCTGCATGCTGTTTGGTTGAGTAGATAGAAGAAAAGGCTCTAGTGATCACCTAAAATGAGAAGCAAGGCCTTATTGTGAATTCTCACAACATATTTGCCACCAAGAACTCTAGAATGAGGGGAAATAGTAAAAAGAGGAGAAAGATGGGGAGATACTCTGAACTTACATGATCAAAAGGCTCATGACCAGCCCAAGTAAGGTTAACAAATGTTTTTCCCTCCCTTTTATCTTCAGTTTCTTCTACAAGAGATATGGGACTCTCTGTTCCCCTGGGCACTGTGGAATTGGACTTGAGTTTCTCTCTCTGCAAAGCACAAATGTTTTTTTCATCGAAAATTATGCAGAAAGAGGAAGCTTTACCTCCAATGGCTGGCCTATCACTAGGGGGATTGCCTCAGAGTAAGGAAAAGTACAAAGATCTACATTTGCATGATTACATAGTGCCTCTGGAGACCCACCCATGGGATATCCCCAGACACAGGGAGCAGGAGCCTTCTGAGCAGAGGGAACAATTAAATGCTGGAAGTTGAGAGAGTTTGGGAGTGAGAAAATAGTACACGAATCAAAATGATGATTCCCCATTCCTTTGAAGACTGAGCTTGCCCGTTCCTCATGGCCACCATTTTCTCTTCTGGGTAGAGAGCCCATGGACCTCTTCGTTCTCCATGGATCTTAGAGATCTGACCTGTTCATCAGCCATTTTTTTAGATTATCTTGTTTTTTTATTGAGGTTTTTTGAAGAAATTGTAGCATAATGTACCACCTTGGAGCCAGGAGTTTCTGGTGTGAAAGATGTCTGTCTCATATCAGTTATATGTTCTAGAGAAGGTAATGATTCTCTTTGAACCTTAACATTATAATTTAAAAATGGAGTTTTACTAATATTTCATGCAGTGACTGTGAAGTTTGAGTGAGGTAGTGCTTATAAAGTTCCTGGCACATGCTCTTATTCCCATAATCTTTATTAAATTTGCAGAAAGCGTATATTTCTCTTCATTTGTAGAATCTTTCCCTTCTTTTTCTTATTCCTTCCTTTCCCACTGTGAAGATGAGTTATTTTTTGTTGTTGTTTGACTTTGTTTTAAACATTAATATGTATAGGGAAGAGATTGCAAATAACTAATATTTCTAGAATTAGGATACTATATAAGAAATATAAGGTTCCTTTTCATAATAAAAGCCTGTTCTCTATGAAATTTCATTAGAATCTGGGATGTAATCAGGTTAAAAATCAATAAAGGGAGAGTGCAACTAGCATTCACAGTGAATGTTCGTGTGTGAAGTAAAGCTATTTGTTTTACCATATAAAATACTTGATTTCCATAAAAATTCAAATACAGTAGCTACATATGTTTTTTTTTTTTCATTCCATCTTACCAACTTTCCATCTATTTTAAATTTTTGTTGGGCCCCAGTGTCATGTGATCTCTCCAAACACAAAATTTGTAAGTTACCAGTGATCACATAAAGTGATGCCTATTAATTATAGTTGTTATCAGTAATAGATCAGGTAACAAAAAGATGTATACACTTCTGAGAACTTTTTTCATTTGATCTTTTTGACTATTACCTACAGTGGATAGCAATCAGAGATCTAAGTACAACCATTAGTATTCTCATGTAACACCTAGTAATAAAAAAAATTATATGCATTTTGGGCTTTTATTTAAAAGTTTATAACTTAATTTTTTTTTAACTTACGAATACATAAAAGGCTTCAGTAGGGTAAGAATAATAAAAAGTCTTAGATGAATTGCAATGGAGAGGAAAGAGATTCCTCTGCAGTCAGAGGAAAGAGAGCAAATCTCAGAGGAAACTAAAATGAGACTCCATGATAATAAAGATAGAATGGCAGAAATGAACTTCAGGGTTAGAATGAAGTATTATAAGCAGCGTAAATTGGAAACCACGCTGGGCGCCAAACTGTTATAGGGCAGCCCCAATACAAAACGGGCTGCCTAACTGTGGGTCCTCACCCGCGTGCTTAAAATGACTTATCAATACTCTACTGCAGACACACACAAAAGGTTAATAAAAGGTTTATTTACAAGGGAAGGGCAAATGAGGAAATGTACAACTCAGGGAGGAAAGTGGGAGACAAAGTTTTAAATGCGTTCACCTGATCTGCCGATCTGGAATTCCAGATGGTACTCTGAGAGCTGGCTGCGAGCCAGGAGCCATGAAGCCAGGAGGCCAGCAAGAGAGCGAGAGACCCCAAGGCCCACGTGTTTGGTTTTTTATACCAACCCTGGCTGCTTAACTGCACTCTCAGGTCCCTGCCACCTTCCCTTTGGTGGTGACAGGATTTGTCTTTCCCAATGTCCTGATGGCTTTGGTCTGGAGTGGGGGTGGAGTCCACAAAGCCTGTATGGAATTAGCTCAGGACATCCTTTCCCCCTAACAATTCTATGATTTCAGGTTTTCAAATCTAGCCTCCCAGCCAGGAACAGATCCCAGGCTGCAGGGGCAGCGCTGTGTCCCAGCCACTAGACCACCACGGGTTGGTGTCTCAAGAAGCCGCAGCAGGAAATTCAATGACGCTCAGGCAAGCAAGCAAAAAGAGGCAGATTTGTTTAGAGAAACGAAAGGTTTATTAAGGAGAAAAGGAACAGAAATAAAGTGGGACTCCCAGCCAGTGGAACCAGGCCAGGGAGGGGCAAGGAAGCCAAAGTGGAGTCTTGCCTCAGGGAATATACACCTTCTTTCCCTCATTATTCTAAAACCTCACCAGTCTCTTTGTGATTGGTTAGTCCTTGGTGGTCTCACTCTGCCTTAAAGTCTCTGTGCCCAGAACTAAGTCTCTGTGTCCCAGTCCTTATCTTAGCATACTTTTCTTTATCATCCTTGTTCCAGGATGTCTTGTTGCCCCTGGTCCTGGGGTGTTTGATTAGTTCCCTTTGGAATTTGTTGCTCATCTCTGGAGGCTTCTTTATTCCTTCCAGGCTTTTCCTGTCTATTCTGACCCTAAAAGCTCTCCTCTGCTTGCCAGTAAGCCCTTGGTAATGAGGCTACAGAAATATCTAGTTTTTTATATTAATGTTGATGTTGTTACTGTTACATTTTCACTTGGGGTGGGATGGGGGGACTCCCTTCCCTTTGCTTATGCTCAGATTGTTACTTAGGGGACAGCAAAAGTTCCAGGGTTAAAGAATTCTCCCTTGATTCAGAAAAGCAATGGTTAGAACATTTAAGAATTTCCTGTAGGTCCCTTACTCACATAGTTACTATTTTTAATTGGTCCCTAGAAGAGGGCGGGCCTTCCCGTAATTTTTCTTGCAGCTGTTTTCTCTCTGCTTTGACACACTTCTCTCAGAGCTGCCTGTGAGGAGGTAGGTGACCCAGATGCCTGCCCTGGGGCTGGACCCATCCTTAGTCTCTGAGGACTAAGATCAGCCAATCTCATTCAGCTTCCAGATCTGCAGCTTTGTTGGGGCTTGTTTACCTGCAAGTGCAAGATTGGGGAAGTTAGTCCTGATGTGGTAGCCCAGGAGTTTCTGCTGGGTTGACAGTTCAGGGGCCTCTGGTGGTGGGCTGGGAAATTATTAGTCATTTCCTAACAGTCTAATGACCTTCATTTCTGTCTCTCCCTCTCTGTCTCCCCTTCTTTTTCTTTCATATAAACTGTTAATGTTTTCTCCATGTTATGATGTGGAAATTAACCCCCCCCCCACCCCCCCCCCCATCAGATTGCAGCCTCTAAATTCAAGGGACCGACTCTGATCCCTTGTGTTAATACCTAACACTGATAGCTAGGACTGGACATTAAAGATTAAATCACTCCCTTTTTCTCTCCAGCCCTCTCTACACCCAAATCTCTCCCTTGGCTGGATCTGTCTCTTCTACTTCTGACCTGCAACAGGCTGCAAGGGTGTGGCCTGCTGCCCGCAGTTCAGGAACTCTTGCTTCCCTTCTCGAGAGCCCATCTGACACACATTCACATGGTTCTGTGATGCCTTCTATTTAACCAGACCTCAGGTTCAGGTTTAACCAGAGACCTCAAACAAGGCTTTGAACTTGTCAACCTCTTTAGCCAGTTTTTACCTACCTCTTCTATTTCTAAAGTGCCACCCCCAGGGCAGAGAACTCATGCTATCTGACCCAGCCTTGTTTGTACTAGGAAAGGTGAGGAACTGGGTACTGAAGAGCAGATTGCCCCCAAGGAGGGATTTATTCTGTGGTTAGAATCAGGAAATGAGGCTGTTTTGTTTAGTTTTTCCAGAGACACCCTTCAACTTCTCTCCCTCCATCTGAAATCCACCATTGGTGAGTATTGCCTCACCTTCGGCTTCCGTGGCCTGCTATTTTCTGAAAACTGCTTCAGCTGTGTGTCTCTGTGGTTCCTGCTTTACGTTTCTGCTGATGTCAGAAATTCTTCCCCTTGCAGCCCCAGCCTGTTCAGCCAAAGAACTTACCTTAGTAAAGTGTCTGGATAGAAACCCTTTTCCTAAGCATCCTCTCCTGAGCTGCCACTGTTAGGGGGAAATGATGTCCTGAGCTAATTCCATACAGGCTTTGTGGACCCCACCCCCACTTCAGACTAAAGTCATGAAGACACTGGGAAAGACAAATTCCGTCACCACCAAAGGAAGGGTGGCTGGGACCTGAGGGTGGAGTTGGGCAGCCAGGTTGGATATAAAAACCAAACACGTGGGCCTTGGTGGGGCTCGCTATCGCTCGCCTCCTGGCTTTACGGCTCCTGGCTCGTGGCCAGCTCTCAGAGTGCCATTTTGGAATTCCTGATGGGCGGATCGGGTAGGAGTCATTTGAAACTTTGTCTCCCACTTTTTTTCCTGAGCTGTACATTTTTTCATTTCCCCTTTTCTTGTAAATAAACCTTTTATTAACCTTTCGCGTGTGCCTGTAGTAGAGCATTGATAAGTCCTTTTAAGTGCATGGATGAGGACCCACAGTCAGGCACCCCATTTTGTATCAGGGCTGCTCTACAACAGTTTGGCACCCAGCGTGGTTTCCAAGTTACACCCGTGGTTGACCAGCCCAAAGTAACATTCCTTACGGTGGTCACCATAAGCGCACTAGTTCTGCAGGACTCACAGTATAATATTTGTCTCAAGTCCTAAAAAGTCTGTTTTTTTTTTTTGCCCTGAGTGTTATTTCAAACATAAATACAGACCCAGGAGGAAAAGTCTGATTTACTGGAACTAATTTGTGAGGCCAGGGCAGTGTGTATAAGAAATATTGTTATTATCAGATGGCTGAGCAACATGGAGCAGGAGCATTGCTTGGGTTAAGATATTGCACTGGCAATTGTGATGGTGAGGCAAAGAAAGTTTATTCAAAGGAGGTTGTGGATGAACCCCCAAATATGTGATGTGAGGTGACATGATGAAACAGAAATCACAATTGGTGTAACAAAGAACTGCAGGCAAATAATGGTAAGAAAGCCAAAGGGAGTTTGTTGGAGTAAACTCCTTAATGCCTAGGTTCAGTGACATTGCTGCTGAAGATTGCAGCTTAGGTCACCCTTTGACTGAAGAGGGAGGGGGACATTTACAAATAATTCAGTTCACAATAGTCGGAGGGCAACTTCCAGTGATATTAGGGCCAAAGACTGTGACTAAATCCACTGCTGATTGGATGAAAGAACCATAATGTCTGTAATAATAGTGCAGATACATAAATTTATCTTTGTTATATCACATGAAATTGTTGTCTAATGTTACAATACAACATAGAAGCTATATTTAGTATGGCTTGATTTAAAATAGAGAATATATTGCATATATTATATTAGAATGTCTTTGGCTAGAGGAAGTAAAGCATAATTTCAATATGAGTCCCACAAAGAAAATCACAAGAAAATTTGGTGTGGGGGTCCATTCTGGGTCAGGCAGCTGAGCCATGGAGACATGAAGCTGATATGGACAGTGACATTGTTAGGGTTCTTCAGCCCTTCCCTGAGGAAGAAACAAGCGACACTCAGAAAACTGAGATCAGGAGATTTTATTAACACCGGCAGGCCCAGGGGAGTCATCTCCAAGACTCTGGGCACCAAGTGTAAAGGAAACAAGCTTTTTATGCCTTTTTACAGTTCCACTGTGACAGTCAAAGCAGAGTTAGCGGTTGCTTAGGAGAAGGGCGTGAGGGAGTGAAATGAATAATGGGTTAGGAAATGGGAGTGCAGGAGTCAGATAAGGTTGCTTAAGAAGGATGATTTGGGGGGTTCTCACGGGAGAGTTCCTTCGGGGGGCATAGTCATACTGCATTTTTCCAGACTTCTCTAGCAACATGAAGGTCACTGAATAGCATGAGCCAAAGTGACAGCAGAGGTCTATGTAACAACTGTAATGACAATCATAGAATACTAATAGTCTATCATAACTGATTGAATACATGCTATAGGCCAGATACTGTCCTAGGGACCTCACATACATTAATTCATATGTGCATGTATGACTTACAGGTATTATGGGCTTCATTTTAAAATACTGGGCTTCTGAGGAGTTTCATTAATTTTACCTGTGTAATGTACTTATGGGGGGATATGTTAAAATCACTTTGGGGAAAATGGAGGCGGTGTCTGAACCATCTTTGGGGCATTTCAGAGATTTTCTGTTTAGTGGGTAGTCAGTGAATCTTACAGCCTTACTGTTGGCATCTTTATCTCTGTTCCGGCTTCTTTCTCCCTTTTTTGGCTCCATCATTAACACCGAAGCACTATTATGCTAGAGAGAAGCACCTAAGGTACTGGTATTTGAAGCAGCAATCCCCAACTTGTCACTGTATTGGGGATTACTGTCACTTGTCACTCTTTTCCAGAGCAATCCCTGTGTCACCATGGTGGGGTCCTGTGGCCTACTAACCCGCCAGGAGGAGCCAGGTAAGCCCGATGCCTACCTCTTAATTGCCACTGTCCCTTTGGTGGCTCACACAAGGGCTGGCTTGCAAGAAGCAATCTATTCATGTTTTTCTTCTTTTTAACCATTGGATTCTTTCCCTAGTGCCGCTAAAGAGCATCTCTGTGACCTTGTCGATTCGGGAGTTTGTGGCTGGTGTGTCCGCAACCTTACACTACGAGAATGAGGAGAAAGTTCCCGTGGAGGCCTTCTTTGTGTTTCCCATGGATGAAGACTCTGCTGTCTACACCTTTGAGGCCATGGTGGATGGGAAGAGAATTATGGCAGAATTACAGGAGAGGATGACGGTACTAGGGATGAGTATATCGTCCTCTCCCTCCTTATTTCTTTAATGAATATTCTCCAGCAAATGCAATTTCACAAAAAAAAAATGCTGATGTTGAGTGCTCTTTCCTCCACTCTCCTCTTTAGTGCTATTTTCCTAAAATAATTTTAGAGATAAAATGCCATCAGAGCCACTCAGAGTTCAATTATGAACATGATGAGATCATCACAGCTCCTCTCCCTCAGTCTTTGTTTTATCACTTGTCTCCTCATCATCAACTATATTACCTCTGATGCCCCTTTTCTTTCCCTAATCTCCTTAGGCCAGTGCCAAGTATGACACTGCCATCAGCCATGGCTACCAAGCCTTCCTCTTGGAAGAGGACATGTTCTCCAGGGATGTCTTCTGTTGCAACGTGGGGAACCTCCACCCTGGGTCAAAGGTTTCACTGACGCTGAGGTACGTGCAGGAGCTGCCCCTGGAAGCAGATGGGGCCCTGCGCTATGTGCTCCCAGCTATCCTGAATCCTCGATACCAGAACACTAGTGAGTATTGTCTCCTGTGGAAAATTAGTGGAGAAATCCCCTCGAGGTTGGAGGGCTGCTAGAAAGCATGGGAAAGGAAAACAGAACTCAGGTAATATTTTGTAGGATTGTCTGAGGACAGTTGCCTGAACATGAAGGCCCCCAGAGTTCCTTTGGAAGACCTGCCCTACACACTCAGCATGACCGCAGCCATCCATTCCCAGCATGGCATCCAGAGGATTCAGTGCAACTGCCCCTTGAGTGCCATTGAGTATCCTGAAGCTGAAAAGACTTCTGCTCAGGTACTTACGGTTACCCACATCTCTGTTCCTTGGGTTCTGACCTTGGTCCTCCCTCAATCTTTCCTTAACATTCCTTCCTTTTCCCTGTTGACTGAGAGGAGGGGATCATACTGTGTTCCTCTTTTGTCCCCTTGTCCAGAGCCTTCTCTGCATTCTTGGTCCTAGTCCTAACCACATTTACTTGTGGAAAAATCCTCAACTCTCACCACAGCCCCAGGCAGCAAGCCAGGAAAGTCCCAGCGTGTCTCTTTGCCTGTTCCCAACTCAGGTTTCTCTGGCCGATGGACACAAATTTGATCGAGATGTGGAACTCCTGATTTACTACAGGGATGTGCATACCCCCAGCGTAGCTGTGGAGATGGGGAAGCCAAACTCAAAGCCAGGTAAGGGTTACTCCTCAACTTGTTCTCAGCATCGCTTTTCTTTCCCTCTCTTCAGTAGTGGGTAAAAGAGATGGATGTACAGCATCTCACTCTGGCATGCAGGAATGATTCATTTTAATGACTTAAGTGGTTATGTCTTGTAGGCATTTTTAAGAGTACCAGTAGATACTTAGGCTAAGCACTAAACAAATAATTCACAAGAGGGAATATAGCTACCTACAAATATGTGACAACAATGTGGCTTTTTCACCTTTCAAATTATCCAAGCTTTCCAGATCTGGCAGTGGCACATGCTTTGAAAGGAATGGTGAATTTGACATTCTCATAGGTAGTGTGAAGTAAATAATGTGGTTTCATACTTCTGAGAAGAAATTTGTTGCTAAGTGTCAAATGTTCATTTTGGTAATTGCAAATTTGGGGATCTTACCTCAGGGAGGGAATCTAAATATAAGTAAACATATGCACTAAAATGACCTCTATCATTTTAATAGTAGCATGTCTACATGTAGTAAAATGTCTACATGTAGTAAAATGTCTACAGTGGCTAAAATCACTATGCTGTGTTTATTTGATTAGTAAAATAAGGCAAGAAAAAGTAAGTTATACAGACTTGCACAGGAAAATCCCTTCTGCATTGATCAAAACATTTAAAAACAGGAGGTATGTGAGTAGTAATTGTTATTTGGTTAAGATTATTATATCTAATAAGTTTTATTGATTGATTCATCACATCTACATGTGATTTTACCTGCAATTTTTTTTTAAATCACAGTAAAATTTACATAGCAAAGTCTATCATTATAACTATTTTTAAGTGTTTGGTTCTGTTGTCTTGAATGTGTTCATTCACCTTGTTGGGCAACCATCAGTAATATCCATTCTAGAACTTTTTCATCTTGCCCTAGTTTCTTAATTTCCAAGTCTAGCTTTAGTTTCTTACTACATGCATTTGTATTGCCTTACTTTCTAAATTTTCGTTAATATGTGTACACTTTTCCTTGGAAGGTTACCTGGTATCCATGTCACTCTTGGGAACTTCCTGGCACTAGGTTACAAGGACCATGAAGCATGACTTTACCTCACAGTGTCCTTATCCTTTCTGGTTAGATTCTTTGATGGGGGCTCCATCTGCAATGGTGAGTTTCTACCCAAATATCCCAGAAGCTCAACCACCAATTGCCTGTGGAGAATTTGTCTTCCTCATAGACTGCTCAGGAAGTATGGCCTGCCCAATGAGTAAAGAGGATAAATCTCAACTGCGCATCGAGGCAGCCAAGGTAAAACTACTTTCTTTCTTTGATCATATGCTCAAGTGAGAATGAAATGCTGGGGTTAAAATGGATTCCATCCGGAGCTGTGGGTCTGCTACCCATGTGAACTACAGATGAAATGATCATTTGGAGTGAGGCTAACCTTGGACTATAAGGGCATGGAGGCATGAAGGTGAAAGATCTTACTGTCAAGAGTTAGATTGTTAGGGTCTGTGTGTCTGACAGGAACCTTTCTCACTGTTCCTGCATACTCTGTTCCTTCAGGAAACACTGATTTTGCTGCTGAAGAGTTTGCCCATTGGTTGTTATTTCAATATCTATGGATTTGGATCTTCCTATAAGTCATTCTTTAAGTAAGTGTCTAGAAAAGTGAAAGTCCAAAAAGAAATTTGAATGAAAACATGCAATAATCCCTTTAATAAATGAAAAATTGACTTTGGGGATTTCAGATGGAGTTTATAGTGGGGGTATTTCAACGTAGGGACTCAATACTGGATGGTAGCTATGTGCTTTCTTTTTCTCAGGGATAGTGTGCAGTACACTCAGGAAACCATGGAGGAGGCGGTGAAGGAAGTGAAGCTTATGCAAGCTGACTTGGGGGGCACAGAAATATTGCAGCCATTGCAGGCCATTTACAGTAGGCCTTCCATTCCGGATCACCCCCTTCAGGTAAACACTGAAACAGAACAAAAAAAGGGGATAGGGGGAAAAAAAACCAGCCTTAAATAAAGTTTTTAATCTTTATGAGGGAGGGCGGGCTTCCCTGATGGCACAAGGGGTTAAGTCACAGCACTATGAAGCTATCTGCAGCCACCACAACATGCCTTCAGTCCCTGGAGAAGGAGTTGGCTCACCAGACCTCTCCCACCTGCTGCTTTCCTCACCAATGTATTTTAGTGAATATGCCTGTACTCTACTCGGGAGGGGAGGGGAGGGAAACCAAATTCAAAAATTTACTCACATTCACTGCTGATTTGATTCTTTTTCTTTCTCCAGCTTTTTGTGTTCACAGATGGTGAGGTTTGCGACACATTCCGTGTCATTAGTGAAGTCAGAAGCAACAATCTGAAGCACAGGTAAAGAAATCTCTGGCCTGTAGCCCAGTTCTTGTGCATAAATAAATGGATCTTACAAAGATAATGATCTTGTGTCACAGTGCCATATAGTGCCAGCATTGCTTTTCTTGTTTTGAATAGTCTTGCTTCTTTGCTCCTGCCATATGTTGAGATACATATTTTCCATGGAAACAGTAAATTTTAATAGGTATAAAATATCCCATAAAACTATTATACCACACTTTATTGATTCTACTGATGATAGACATTGCTTCAGCAGTTAAAAATAATACACATTAGCTTATTGTTGTATGTGTATTTTTTGTACACACTTGTCTACATATATCTGTATGTGTGCATATGTATATGTATAGTCATGCCTCACTTAGCAACAGAAATACATTCTGAAAAATGCATCATTAGGCAGTTGCCTTGTTGTGTGAACATCACAGAGTTAATTGCACCAACCTACTTGGTAAAAGGACAGGTCTAGGCTGTATGGTGTAGCCTCTTGGGGCTACCACTGACCTTGACCAAAATGTAATTAAATGGATGGATGGATGGCTAGCTATCCCATATTAAGTTTCCCCTATTTACTAGTTGGCATCCTACTGTAAAAGAGCTTTCCCTCCCTTATCTCACCCTCCTTTGCTTTTGTTATCTCTTGTATTCTTTCATCATTTTTCCAATTTGTTTCATTACTCTCATTGTTCATTTAGATGCTCAAAAGTTCCAGATTAGGCCAATGGGAGCACCTTTTTCACTTGCTCCTGTCTTTCCCACATGGCCTTTGCTTTATGAATATTTCCGTTCTTTTTTGCAAACAATGTTTCAGACTTACCTGTACTTTCGTAGCCCTCTAACTTTCCATTTTTATAAGAAGCCTTGTTCCTGTAAGTGAAAATAATAGAGAGAGGTCAATATTTTAATGTTAGTTACAACTCCTTGATGCTCTGGGATATTATTAGTTCTAAGCATTTTCAGCAGACAAAACTAGCAAATATTTTAAAAAATTATTTTACTGCCATCCATCCTTCCAAAGGAGTAACACAACATTTGTTCTTTCTCCTGCTTCATATTTGTGTCTTCGTTCCTCCATGGCAAGAAACCTAGTATCTCACGAAATGAGCACATTTTCTTGTTTCTTTAACCTAACAATACACACGAGATCTCTAACTGTTTTTTAATTCATTGTGTGTGATCTTGGACAGTTTTTAAAAATGCTTCAGAATTCAGTTCTTTATCTGCAAATGAAGCATAAACCTGCCTCTGAGGAGCATTGTGATGATTACACTGTATTAGTAATTTAAGGCATTTGCCACCCTAAAATATAGAAAAATAAATGGCTGTTATTAGACTTTTGGTTAAGGAAGTAATTATTTGGACATTGCATATTTACTGTATAGTTTCACGCTGTATTGCCTGTCTCTAACTTTTACCCCTTCACAATTGCAGATGTTTTTCATTTGGTATTGGAGAAGGAGCCTCCACCAGCCTAATAAAAGGCATTGCCCGGGCCTCAGGGGGCACTGCAGAATTTATTACAGGCAAGGACAGAGTGCAGTCTAAGGTAAGGGATAGACCGGTTGTGAGCCACAGCAAGTGTGGGGTGGGGGAAGACATTGCTGAAAGGGCACAAGCAACCCTTGCCTCCAGAATTCATTTCATTTTATCCTGAAGGCATGGGCTATATACTTCTGGCCGATGTAAGAGGGCCCCTCATTGTTCTAAAATCTAGCCTACTAATTGGAAACCCAGACATGAGATTCTACAGGAGGTTAGGGATTTGTATTTAAGAACAGAAACTAAGAGACTGTCATGATTGAGATTCTAGGTATATGCTCTAGACTCTTTGGTATTACATCTTATCCTCTATGCAAAAAATACAGAGAATGAGAAGGAATAATTAGAGCATGTCTGCTAGATTGGAGAAAGTGGTGCATTGATGTACCATTTGATTAGTATGCACAAGGAAAGGCATTTTCCACCTCTGATCACATTTCTAAGTTCCTCTGTTCTGTTGCTGCCATCTCTTATTTAGCTCCTCCTTCTCCAGGGTCTCCTTTCTCAGATGTTTCCTTCATTCATTTTTTGTTAATAAATCTGTCAGCTTTAACTGCAAATTAAGAGTAATAATGTCCATCTGCTAGGACAGTGTTACAGATTAGGCGTGACATGCATTGTGTTGCATAGCACCTTATGCATAATAAATTTTCAATCAATAATAGTTATTGTTGCTATTATTATTTTTTAATGCTTATTCTGTTCTCTTTCCTCCCCAGGCTCTTAGGGCCCTGAAACGTGCTTTGCAGCCTGTGGTAGATGATGTTTCACTCAGCTGGGATTTGCCTTCTGGTCTATCTGCTAAAATGCTTTCCCCAGAACAGACTGTCATCTTTAGGGGTCAAAGGTTAATCATATATGCCCAATTGAATGGAGTGATGCAGGTGGGTGCCTGTTCTTTTTTGTGCCTAGAGTAGCTGCTGACCTGAACTCTGCACTGGACATTTCATTAAACTAGGAGACCTCATCAAAAGATAGTACTTGGCAGGTGGAGTCAGCCTGCCTACCCCTTTCTCCATCATATCCGGTCTCTAATTTCCTAAACTACCTGTTCCTAGTCGGAAATTTTTTAGTAAAAGATTTATTTACACATACAAGAACTGGGGTGTAGGCTGGAGGTGTGGGGGTGTGAGAGGATTCACCAGAGACAGAGCAGGGAGCAGAACAGGCAGTTCTACTGAAATACACTGCTGAGGGGAGCAGCGGGTGAGACAGGAAAGGTCGTCTGCACCATGTGGGTCAGCTCCCCAGCCAGGGATCGAACTTGTGCTGCAGTGGCTGGAGCTAGCTTGATAGTACTGTGTCTTTAACCCCTGCACCAGCAGGGAGGCCCCCTGGCCAGAAATTTGAATGTGGGTTGGGAGTCTGCCCCAGTTCTGACCTTGCTCTTGGTGAGCCCTCCCTTCCGTCTTCTCTACTCTTCTCTAATTTATAGCCTGCAGAAGCGACAGGAGAAGTGTGCTTCAGGTACACATTCCAGGGCAAGAGGTTGAGCAGTAAAGTGAAGTTTTCTCTAGAGCCCAAGTTTGATGCCAAGTAAGAATTCATTTTTCCTTTGCTATCTTTCCCTTTTCCTTCTCTCCCTCCCTCCTTTTCTTCCTTTCTCCTTTTCTCTCCATTTTTTTGGTTTCTGTCACCCTCGAGGGTTGTCTTCCTTCTCTTAATTTTGGGCTCAACTGTTTCCCTGTAATCATTTCTCCTTTTTAAGTTACTCAAATCTTATCTCTCCCCTTCTCTGTTCTTGTTTTCTCTCTGCCATCTTTAATTGGTGGTGTGCCCTGAATTAACTGCCATAGGTATGCTTTCCCAAAGTCACAGGAATGCTTTTCTTTTAGCCTCACAGTTCACCGCCTCGCTGCCAAGTCCTTTCTCCAGTCCAAGGACCTGGGCTACAGGGACACTCCAGCCAAAGATAAGAAAGACATCCTGAAAGTCAGCATGGAGTGTGGAGTCATCAGCTCCCACACATCTTTCATTGTTGTCAACAAGGAGGCCAATAAGCCAATTCAGGGGCCCCTGGCTCGTAGGGATGTTCCAAGGCCAATGCTATTGGGAGCTACTTTTGCATCGAACCGCTCTTCATGTGGTGAGTTTCACCCTATTCTAACTTGTAAAATTAGGGTTCCTGCATATCTGGACACATCATTTAAAAGAAATATTTAGAACAGGTCCTTAAGATGCATTTTTATTCCTTGTCTTTCCACATCTAGGGTTTCTGGCTGGTGTTAAGCTTTTCTGTCTAGTAATTGCACAGGTGGCTGATGGACAATCCAGTAGTGTTAGAGAGTGGGTTCTGATTGTCTCAGTCCTAAGCCAAGCAGGCTTAATTATAGACCTAGGGGTTCCAAGGATTAGGATCAGGTCAAAAATTTTCCTGAGCAAGATTCTATGACTGGATGGGAATATTTTATGTTAGCTCTAATGCCAGGCTTCAGTGCGAAACCAAATTTCTGATTAAGCAGCAGGGTGGATGATAATCTCATTTGTTAAGTAGAGAATAAAGAATAAGACCAAGTTTAGGGGTTAAAACTTGAGATGCCTAAAGAATACCATATGAAGATGTCTAGTAGAAAGGGAGATAGATGGCTTTGGTGTTCAGAATGAAGATACACATTTGACAGTATTTAGCAGTTAGATAATAACTTGTCATGAGCATCAATGATACTATTTAGAAGGCAGGTATAAAGTGATAGGGAAATGGAGGGGTGAGAGTTATTGTAAAAAATAATTCAGTATCTAAGAATAGGTGACCAAGTGTTTTCCAAACCCGAAGAGAAATTAAGGGGGGGGGGCAGGAAAGGTAACATTGATATAGCAAAGGGTATTATAAAAGTATCAGATACTACAGAGAAATCAAAGTGAAAAATAGAAATGAGAATAATGGGTTTATTTTAAAGTGGTCCTTGCTGATCTAATAGAAAACAATGTCATTGATCAGAAAAGAATCCATATTATCGAATGTTAGAGTAAATGAGGGGCTGTATAGATACTATAAATGATACATTGAAAATAGGAAGGCATATAGAGTGACATCTAGAAAAGAGGTAGGAGTTGAGGTGGGTTTTGTTTTTTTTTTTTTTTGTATGTTTTGTCTCTTTAAAATTTGAGAATGGGAGAGATTTGAGGAAGTGAGCAGATGAGATCAAGAGACACAGTGAGGGATTAACTTTTAGTAGGACAAGTATGGGGCCTCTATTGCCAGGAAGTGGGAGAATGGTGAACGTTATTTTAGGCTGAGGCAAGTTTTTGGAGTTTCTGTCTGCTAGACTTTGTTTAGTTTCAGTAAGAGAGACCAATTCGAGAATGAGTATGAACTTGAAGTGTTAGCATAGAGAATTAGTTGAGTCTGAAATAACTATGTGGACTATTGGAGAGCAAAATGAGTATTTTTCAAGGAGTGTTAAGGGTCCTCTTTAGCTTTGTTCCTTGGCCTTTCCAGTGGCACCACATTATTAAAGGGGGAATCATCATTTCTGGGATTCATTTCAGCTATACTCAGCACTTTGGTCTAAGAATGGAGTAGAGTGTTGGCTTCATTTCAAGGATTGAGTTTTGACTGTTGGGTGTGATTAAAAGGAATTTAGGGGATGTGGAGTTGAAGATATGAAGGAGTGGTAAAGTTTTTAGATTTGGGATGTAGGTTAAATGGAGAGAAGAGAAAAGACAGAAGGAAGTTGATATATATTGAAAAAGCAGAGGAGTCAAGGATTTGGCGATCCAGATGAGGTCAAAGATCAGGTAAGATGGGAAACAACTGAGTTAGATTGTGTATAAAGAGTAGGATTTTGTTTCCCAATTTATTTTTTACAGGTGGAATAATTCTACTTGACAACAAGGCCTGGCTTGGGAAGGGAGTTACTATGGTAGAAGCCTTTTGATTTAAGGAAGTCAAGAAGTTTTGAATTAGGGTTATTTACATGGGTACTGAATTCTCTTAAGATAATGGCCAACTTTGCAAGGAAGTAGAAATATATGATATAGCTCCCAGATACTTCAGTGAATGATAAGAAGTGACAAAGAGGTTGGGGTTTGGCAGTGATGAGAAAGAATCTGAGAAAGGTAATCCTGGTAAGTGAGGATATGTAAAGAGCTGAATGTGAGTTAGCACTGTTTGATAGGAATAGAGGCGGAATAGTTTTTAAGTGAAGATAAATAGTTGGAAGAGGCCTCTTGTAATGAAACTAAAGATGCAGGGAAGATCATTTTCATGTAGTAAGGATTCCAGAGCATACCCTAGAAAGAACTCAGAGTGAGGGCATGTGCAGAATGTGGGCTCACGGGAGAAGAAATGCACAATAAAGAGGGTGACAGACTGATGTAAATATGAGAATATGTGTCTCAGATTATCAGGGTCTTTAGCCTACAGCAGAGCTCAGGGGGTGTCTCATTCACACTGTCTGTGCTGGTCTTTTTCAGCTCGTGCAAAGAACTCATCTCCCTTTTGTCTTCCTGGGAGTCAATCCATGAGGAAACTGCCTTTCTCAGTCAGGGCATGCCGCCTAAGGCCTAGCACGTCTTCTAGGGGGCCCAAGAGGGACAAGCACCTGTACAATCTAAGTGAGCATCTTCCTAGGGAATTTTCCTCACCCAGGTCTCACACATATGCAGAACTAGATGACTCTGAGCTATATGGCTCTGCGCTAGATCCTGAATCCGAGCTTTTGGACTTAGATGAAGGAAGAAATACATGTCTTTCAGGCATCATTCCTGGAAGGGCTTATTCTTCCACCAACAGCACCAATTTGGAATCTCACCATACAGGTGAGGCGGGCCTCAGTTCTTTTTGATCTATGGGGAATGGAGAACTAATTTTTAATGCTCTGCTGTCTTGGGGGCTTTGCTACCAAGAAGGGAATCTGCTTGCAAAGCATGACAGGGTGAGATTTATTAAGTCTCTGTATTTGTAGGGTCAGCCCAGCTGCTTTAATTTACAGTACAGGATCCTAAAACCTACTCCAGTGGAGTATAGGTCAAGTGCTAGTTACACACTCCCCCTTTGCTATCTTAGCCTTGCCTATAGGCTGGGACCCTCCTATAGAACTCAGCTGCCACCATGTTTGTGCCCCCACTACCTTGGCTGCCATGGCCCAAGTTGTGTTTGAAATTTGTCTTCCTGATACTGTCTGAGGACCTTCTTTCTGTCATCAGCGTTCCTTGGATATTGTGTTCTGAGCAGCTGGGATTTTCATGGACAAAATGAGTTAAGGGACATTTTACTAACTGAAGAGGGGATTCATTTTCTACTAAAATAGGCTTAAAGACAACAACTTTTTGGTCTTTACAATTTCTGGAGCAAGAGTTGTAGCATGCACTTGTTTATTTAAACTTCTTTGCCTCACTCTCTCTACTTGTCCATTCTCCTTAGGCTGCTACTTAAAGAAAAGACTGTGAGGTCTAAGGTGGATTCTGTACTCCCAATTACTGTGCGTTGGTAGGCAAATTAATTCATTTTCAGAGCATTAGTTACTTCAACTGCTTGGCTACTCACCTCTTATGGCTGTCATGAGAACCTTCTAGTGTTGTCCACTGATTGGATTTTCTGTTGGTCTCCCATGGCATTCTAATGCCCAATATTGTAGGATATCTCTGCTTTGAGCTTTTTCTCTCATGAATTCTTTTACCAACATGAAAGAAAAAATATTACCCAGCAGTGTTATGATGCTAGTTTTTGTGAATTAATTAGCACTACTATTTATAGGGAGCCAATTAGGGGCCTTCCAAGTATTTTACTTTCTTCTTCATACACTAGGCATTATTCCCTTCAATTGACAAAGATTCCCACTGATTACAAAACTATTACATTTTGAGTGTTAGTCGAAATTCAAATTAAGGTATTAATTTATTTTGCCAATAGAGGACAACTGTTTTTCTAGTTAGTTTTTGCCTACTAATTTCTAAGTTGCTCTAAGTACATCATCCCATTTGATAGCCAGATGTGAGATGGTTTCAATGAACATCATGTGGTCTTTAAGCAGTTCTCACGCCACCAGGATTTAACACTAGACTAGATTAGACTGCTCTTTGCTTCTTGTAGATCTACTTTCGTTTGAAAGTTTTGATAATTGAAACTCAAGCTCTATTTGCCTAGAATTTTTAATGCACCTAAAGCTTAAATGCCTAACAGCACCAGGTAATGGTTTAAATAGCACTATAAGTGAGTTTTTTAGTACCCCGTCTTTCCTTTTTGCTGATTTTGTTAATATATCTCTCTTGGAGTCAGTACATCACCTGGCTGACCTACATCATCACAAAACTCTGCCTGTCTCCTAGGAGAAGGTCTGACATAGGGGTCCGCTTAGCTCTGCACTCTTGCTATAGCCTATCACTGAATTCAGATCTGTCTCCCAGATATTCCAGGGACCAGGAACGCCTTCACTTCTTATCCTCTCTCTTTTTGCTCTCTCAGTCTTTGGAGATAATTACCTTGTGCAGTTGATTTCCCTCCAAAAAGCAAATGGCTCCTGGGATCTGGATGAAGGTTTGGCCATTGTCCTAGGTATGAATTTGTCAGATATCCTGGCTGCTCTCCCTGTGAAGGTGAGTTTTGGAGGGAAAAAAAAAAGGAATATTTAGGGGTGAAGGGTTAGGGTCAATATTGAGAATTGAGGTCAACTACGACTCACCTGAGGAAGGAGAATATGGGCCATAGACTCACTTTCTAGGAAAAAGGGTTTTCTAGGAATGTTAGAACAGAAAGGACAACAAACTAATGTTCTTGCTAGGACACACTGATGGTTTAGAGTTGAAGGATAGCAAAGGGAAATCAATAGTCCTCTTCCAATATGAACTATATTCCCTGCCATTGTAGTTATAATAGCCAATATTTACTGGGAAGTTTCTCTAAGTCAGGCACTGAGCTAAGCACTTAACATTCATGATCTTATTTATTCATCACACAATAATTATATTAGGTAAATCCTAATCATGTTGCTGCTTCTAGATGAAGAAACTAAAAGCCAGAGAGGTATGTACAATGATGTGTTTGAGTTTACCCAGCCAATCAGCAGCAGAGCTGGATTCAATCCTAGGACTCTTTTTCTTCAGAACCCACATTATTGTTCCTCTTCATATTGAAGGAAGTTATCCAGAAATTAGCAAAATTGCATTGAATAGGTAAAGTAGTAATAGAGATGACCTACTTATTTCAAGTCTGTTCAACTGTGCTGGCAAAGATAAATTATATTCCAGGATTTCAAGGTACCCTACTAAACCTTCTAATTGAGAAATTGTTTAATGTGAGACAAATTCCAATAGCCTATAACTGCACCATCCACTGTAGTACCCACTAGTCAATTGTGGCCAATGCAAATGAAGAACTAATAATTTTTAACAAGGGTATGTATGCTATAGTTGTAAAAGACATACTGACTTCAAGTTTAAAAGAATGTAAATTGTTTCTTCAATAATTAGTTTACATTGATTATGTATTATAATTATATTTTGACCATATTAATATTAGTAAATGTATTATAATATCTGAGAAAAATAACTACATCTCTTAATTTCTATAAGTTTACATGTGGCCACCCGGGCATTTAAAATTGTCTGTATTTCTGCCATCATATTTCTATTAAAAAATGCTGTTCTAGAACAGATAATTAACAATTGGATAAAGATGTAAAGATCTGGAAATTCTAACTTGGGTTCACAGAGAACAAGACATGCCAAACTACCATTTTCTTTGATGTGTGCAACTGGGCTAGTAAAGTAAGGAAATCAAGAGCCCTGGTATAGATGAATTTCAGTAGAGAATTAGACTTTTTAAAAAAAAGTACATGAAGTGAGTACAAAATAGCTGAAAACATTTAATACTTAATGAATTAATTCAAATTTGAAACAGTTTTAGACCCACAGGTTCTGAATTCTCTAGAGGTCCATTTCAGAAGATTAGACTAAGACACAGACCATTGCTTTCCTACTTACCTATGACAAAACTGGGGAGATAAAGCAAAAAGAAAATCAGGATTCCCAAAGACCTTGAACAATAACTTGCAGTTTTGGGGGGAGGGGAAGAAACTCCTTAGGAATAAAAATGGTGTTTTTGGCTTTCAGTTCTCAACTTTACAGTTAGAAAATAAGAGATTTTTTAGATAACCCCAAAAGAAATCTTTTAGAAATCACCATATTGATTTTAGACTAGGAGAACAAGTATGGTGATTCATACTACTTTGATATAAGCAGCCATCTTAAAGAATTAAAGAAACTGGAAATTTTGATTTGAAACAAGACCACCTAGAGGTCTTGAGAGGAAATGAAAACTATTTTCTGAATATTAAAGATCATCATATTAAAGGGGAATTACACTCAATCTGCTGACTCTAAACTATTAATAAACTAGGGAGCCCAGGATACAAAGGCTCATGGGAGGCCACTCTGTTGTGGGGCTGGACTGTATACTATGAGCCATTTGACTCAAATCAGAGTATCTGGCGCCACAGGCCTAGCTCTGTCATCTGCTAGAAGGTCAACTTGGGCAAATCATTTTGCTTCTGTATGAATGACTCTTGTCTCTTACAAATGTAGTGATCGATCATTCCTCATGTTTGTTAGGATAAGGGTACAAATAAAAAGGTGTGAAGGTACTTTATACTGTAAAATAACTACTGATGTGTTTCTCTTATCACAACTGGGCAATCCTTATGGGGGATGTCTTAGGAGTTTCAGGCACTATTCAGGTGGTTATACTTGACCTTTCTACCAAAAGACTCAATGGATTATTGCCCTGGGGTTCACACCCTGGCATTATGCCTTGCATGTAGTAGATGAGATAAAAAGAGGACAGATAACTCCATTAGTAACTGTTGGGGGGTTGGCAAGTGAGGAGTGGATGGAGCTCTTTGCATCCCCCTGAGGATTTCTAAGAGCTCTGTTTTGCACAGAATGCAGATGCTCAAAGCTGGGCTACAATCCTGGCAGTGCTCTGGCTGCATGCTAATGGGAAGGACTTGAAGTGCGAGTGGGAGCTTCTGGAACGAAAGGCTGTGGCTTGGGTTCACCTCCATGCAGGTAGGCACACAATCCTATCATCCCCTTTCCTTTCCTCCTTCGGAAGCAAGTCATGTTGCCAGATGCTGAGCCTCTAAGTCTGGCAGAGGGTAGTCAAAAAATCCCCAGGATCCACCCTTCCTACCATTCTGACTCAGACCTTTTCTTCCAACTGCTTTGTTCCTTGACAGGATGGGGGTGCAGTCTTAAACTAGGGGTGGGAAAGGTAAATACAGAGGGAAAGGCCATGGATTCTCATTCTCAAGACTAGCCTGGAATGGGAGTATTTAATCCTTGGGCAGAAATTATCTCACTGCTGCTGAGTATTTGTGAGCCAGAGAAGATTGAAGGAAATCAGTAGGAAGAGAGAAGTCAGGAGTATTGAGGAAAGATAAAAGCAGGACTCTTGAAAGAGATGAAAAAGGAGGTTTAGGGGAGACTGGGAGAAGAGCATTTCCTCTCATCACTGTCCCAAAGCCCTAAATCTTCTGTCTTCATCTTAGGCCCCAGCATGGACGTGCTTGTGAAAGCTGCAATTGCTTTCCTGAAGTCACCCGTAGATCCTGCTGTCTTTGTCCTGTAAGGGTGCCATGGAAGACAGACAAGTGCCTCTCCTATGCTGCTGTCCTTTCCTTTGCCCTCTCTTCTGCTGTGCTGTGCTTTGTATTTGACACCTAGCCTATGAGTTTGCTGATATAAAAGTAAATGATGGCCACCCTGCCTCGCCTCTACTCTGGGTTCCCTTTGGGTATAGTCCTCTCTCCAGTATGCACTTTCAGCCTAGTGTCAGTGGCCCTAAACCTGTTCCCTTTCTGGGAGGAATTCAAAGCATTTAATAGTCCGCCCAGGCTTATGCAAAGGTCACATGAAAAAATAGGTGATATGGACGCCAGACCAAAGGTGGTAAGTTTGATGTCTGGGATGTCTGAATTAGAAAATTCTCTGCATTGCATTTGTCTGTACACCTTTGATGTTATGTACTTATCAGGACCAGACTGGTGAGCTGAGCAGTTTTCCATCCTTACATAGGAGGAAGAGCTGGAGGGGAGGTTGAAAAAACAATATTAGCATCAATATAATCATAACATCCCAAAGAGGGAGACTCAAGTTATCCACTTCAAGTTGGCGTTTTTGTGGGGGGCCATCGTGATGAGTGATGCTTGGGCTTTGCTGACCTATATTCCTCTGCCTGGAGGACTTGGGTTGAGTGACCACTGCTGGAGACAGCAATTTTTTCTTATCATTAAACATCCTTGTAAGGCTACACTGGAATCCTGTCTAACCTTGAACTTGTGAGGTCTCTTAAGTCTGATCTGTTAAGGAAAATCAGGTTGAAAGGCATCTTTGTCTGAGAGTTGAACCTGGATCACTCACCTCATAAGGCAGAAAGATACTCCCTGTGGATAGGTCTGATGCTTATGTCCCAACATCCTGTTCTACTGGAAATGATCCTGTTTGATGTATTATTCTCTAAACTGTTGTTCTATCACTATTAAAAGAACTCTGTACAATGCACATAGTAATATCTGGTCTTTTATAGATTCATACAAAACCTGTATTGGCTTTATTATCCCTGTTTTTCCAAACTTTTGTGATGCATCCATTGTTCACACCATGTCCCTACCACATCTTCTGTTATAGGCTAATGTCCTGGTGGTGCAGGGGTTAAAGACAGTGTTATCAAGCTATCACCTGCCACTGGAGCATGATTTTGATCCCTGGCAGACCAGGGAGCAGCCCACACAGTGCAGCAGACCCCAGTTCTTATATGCATAAATAAATAAATCTTAAAAAAAAAAAAAGAAAGGCAATGAAAGCAATAGAGTACTTTACCACCAGGGGGAAAAAAAGGAAGTCATGAGGGAGAATGAAAGAAAAGGAAAGGAAATAAAAAAAAAAAAAAAAAAACAGCCTAAGAAATGTATCCCTCTGTAAGTAGCCATCACCCTGCCCTCTTCCATTTCTAACTTACACTGTAATTCTTGTAATTATTCCCTGCTTGAGTTTTTCACAGATAAAGAAACTCTCACTTGTCTACTCAAATCCCAGCGCTGCCAACAAACAATAAGGTGTCTGTCACTGGACTAAGAATGTCTAGACTGAGCCCTACTATTTACAGTTAGAAAATTTCATTGAATGATTAGTTGATAAATCAGTGGTTGCTAAAATATACCAATACTTGAATTCCCAGAGTAGGGAAAAAGGAGTTAAACCAGGCAAGCCATTTTCTCTGATTAAAACAAAGATGCAAACAGCTCCACAAATACCCAAGAGCAAGACAGAGATCCTCAGAAATACCTACTGAAGTTTCTGGGACTTGTGGTTTATGAAATGGCACATGAGCTGAATAAGATTTTGGTCTCTTTCATTTTAACCTAAGGCCATAATTTTGTCAGATAATACAAACTTTAAAAAGTAATGCTTGTAGGGATATGGAGAAGATTCCTCCAAATCTCTAAGATGAATCTATTAATAATAATTCTCTCAGAGAGGGACAGCTGCTTTCTGTATGAAGCCATTTTTGGGAAGCAGTGATGATGTAGTGGAAAGAGAGCTTAGCTTGGGAATGCCTGGACTCTTCCACAGTCTAACTTTAGGAAAGTCTCAATTGCTCTGAGTTCCAATGTCCTTATTTGTAAAGTGGGCTTAATGAGAGTTTTCTTAGATAATTCTTGATAAAATTAATCACAATATAAAAGTGCACTGGAAAATCCAGTCATTAGCTACCAACAGGGCTTAAGGGGATCTGAAAAAAAATGTTTAAGGAAGTGATCCAGGGAGAGTGCATGTCTGCACAGGTCTTGACTATACAACCCTTGTGAGACTAAGTTTTTATAAATGAGAGAACTGAAGCTCCTGTGGCTGGGCACCCGGTGCTCTGCTTGGAAACCGTAGATGTGAGGTCTTAGAATAACACGGTGGATGGAGCGACTGTGTTGCAGACTGTGAGCGTTCAAACTAACATACACTGTCCTTCACACACTAACAGATCCACATGCTAGGAACTTCTTGTTCCTCCAAAGTATGATTGATTAATTAGAAAGGAAACCTGCATGCGTATGTTTATTGCAGCACTAGTTACAACAGCTAAGGTGTGGAAACAACCTAAATGCCCAAAAACAGACACTAGATCAAGAAGATGTGGTACATATACACAATGGAATACTACTCAGCAATCCAAAAAGATAAACTCATGCCATTTGCAGCAATATGGATGGAGCTGGAAGGGATTATCCTCAGTGAAATAAATCAGGAGGAAAAAGAAAAATATTGGATAGTTTCACTTATAGGAGGAATATAGGGACACTGAACAGGGGGTCAGGAAAAAAAAAGACAAAACTAACAGGCAAACTATAAAAATAAGACATACAGCAGGAGAGAAGGAGGGAGAGGGGTCGAAACAGGAGGGAAGAGCACAAGGGACTATGCTGATGGTTCACAGGTGATGTGGTGGTGGGTGGAAGCTTTGGGGGCTTACAGCTGAGGGGAGAGATCAAATATTGTACAAAAATGAATGATGTAATAAAAAAAATAAAGCCAACAATGTTAAAAAATTGATTGCATATTTGTATATCACAATAGTAAATTATTTTTCTTTATAATGCAGAGTTACATACAGTTATAAAGCTGTATTTGAAATACAGCTCTTCTATTAATCAACTCTGTAACATCAATGAAGTTGCTTAAACTCTTTGAGATTAAATCTTTTAAAATTTTTCTACTAGACCCACAAAAAAATTTTTTTTTCTACTAGAAATAAGGGAAATAACAATATTTGCCAAATAGATTTCTGGTGAAAATGGAAAGAAATAATAGACAACACTGAGCACAATTCTGACATATGGCAAATGCCCAGTAAATGTCAACTATTATTAGAAGTGGTTTATTCACTAACACATCCCAACTGGCCACTCTCATGCTGTGAGAACCTGTCTGTGTAGCATCTGAACTCCCTTTGTGATGTGTATTTCTCCTCTTTTAAAAATGCTTTCAGAGCAGTCTAGGTATTATGATACTTACTTTTATAACCACTATAGTCATATTTGTTATTTTGCTCTGAGATTTGGTAGATTTAGTGTCATTAAAGTTCACTTTCGTTATGTTAGATCAGTGTCACTGAAAATTTTTTACTGTTAAATAAAATCAACTAATTTCATAATTCATAAGAACTCAATTATTTGTTCAAATTAAGAAAATCCTTACTGGCTTACCTAAAAGATGATTCTCTTTATATCTTCTTGTATATTTCCAGTGACAAAAGAGTTAAATACCCCACAAGATGCCTTATTTCACTGCTATATGTTTTCTAATAATTAAAAACTTGCTTCCTACAGTGAAAAGAAATCTTTCAACCACATCTGCACATGATTCCTGAGTCAACACAGGGACCAGCATACATTAAGTCTATCTACTAGCCCTGAAAGCATCTGAAATCTGCATTTTTATTTCTGCTTCACCGAAATCTCTGTATCTCATAACAGTGTAATGCTTTAAAAATGTTGGCATTGAAATTAAAGAGGCTCAGTTAAGTCACTTTCTACTTTATAGAATTTCTTTTAGAGATATTGTCATAATTAATCAAAATTTAACATAGCACTCAGCATGAGGTTAGTCCTTAAAATGAATTATTAACTGACTATTAGCTATTTAATCAATCATTTTCCTTTGGAAATGGTTGTTAACATCTTTATAATTATCACTGTCCTATGTTTGTGCCTGGTATGTGAATATTTCTCTTTAGGGGGCTGACTTAAGGGACAAACACAGATGGTTGATGCATAATAAAGAATTACTAACTGATTAGGTTTATCTTGAAGAGTGATGCATATTAGAGATAACTTGTCACATGTATGTAGGGATCACTTCAAAAGCAATGAGACAAATGATACCACACACAAAGATGTGAATGTGAAAAAAGGCACCCTTAAGAAGGGATAGTTAAATGATCCACCAATACCAATTTTAGGAATGTGTCCAAAGAATATGAAAACACAGGGCCTCCGTGGTGGCACAAGGGATTAAGCACAGCACTATGAAGCTCTCCGCAGCCTCTGCAGCGCGAGTTTGATCCCCTGCGGGCCAAGGAGCTGACCCACATGGCACAGCAGACCTCTCCTGTCTCGCCTGCTGCTCCCCTCAGCAGTATATTTCAGTCAGTCTGCCTGTTCTGTTCCCCACTCTGTCTCTGGTGAATCATCTCACCCCCCGGGCCTCTGTCCTGTACCCCAGTTCTTGCATGCATAAATAAAAAAAATGAAAACACTACTATGAAAAGATTTATGTACCCCCATGTGCACAGCATTATTCACAGCAGCCAAGACATGGAACCAACCTAAATGCCCATCAAAGGATGACTGGATGGAGGAATTGCGATCTATATACCCTATGGGAAACGATTCAGCTATTGGAAAAGAAACGGTGCCTTTTGTGACAAAAAGGGCAGAACTTGAGATGATTCTGTAAGTAAAATAAATCAGAAAGTGGAAGACAATTACTGGATGGTTTCACTCATTTGTGGACCATAAATTACCAAAGCAAACAAACTGGCAAAATACAACAAAAATATCTCTAAGACTCTACAAAAAACACAATGTTTCCCGAGAGTTGGGTAGGGTAATGCAGTGGTATGATGACACAGGAGGTCTGGAGGTGGGTGAGTGAATCATGTGCACATGTTGAAGTATTAAACTGTACCCCTGAAATTATATAGTTATGTAAACAGATGAGCCAGTAAAATATTATAAAAATAAGTAATAAAACAGGCCTTTTTAACTGATATTTTGTTAGCCATGCCACATCCCATTTGTCCATTTGGGACTGATATCAACTGATAGACAATGCAGAGCCTCAAAAAAATAAATAAACAAAGGATAGTTAGAGCTGGAACCCATTCTACCATGCAATCACCCTTGGGGGCACAGAAACACCTCCTACTTTAGAGCACCCTTTTCCAGTAACCTCATTATGCTATCTCATAACTGGATGATGTCAAGCCTGGAATACTAATTATTCCCTCAGAGCTATCACTGAGTCCCAAACAGGGCTTAAGGGGACCTGAAAAAAACTTCTAAGGAAGTGATCCAGGGAGAGTGCATGCGTACAGGTCTTGCCTAGACAACCCTTGTGAGACTTAGTGCTTATAAATGAGAGAACTGAAGCTCCTGTGGCTGAGCACACTGTGCTCTGCTTGGAAATAGTAGATGTGAGTTATCAGCGTAACACGGTGGACTGTGTGACAGTGTGAGGGTTCAAACTTCTGCCTGTGTCTCACTGCTAAGAGTCTCTGTCTCTGACACATTAACAGATCCACACAGCAGGAACTTCCTGTTCCTGGGGATTTGCTTTTTCCTGAAATGGACTTAAACAGTGAACAGAATTATGCAATCATAGATTATCATGTCATCTGATCACAGACAAGGACCAAAGACCTTGGAGAGCCTGCAGTGACCAGGAGCGGTGATCCTACGCTCCCGTCAGTTTGCATCGCTCAGACACACTACTCAGGTGAGGCTACAATCA